CAAGTGCATGCAGAAGCTAAATAATACTTACACAGCTATCTTGTGTGTGTGTGCTCTCATCTAAAAAATACCCAGGAACCACCTCTCAGTAAAAATACATGCTTAACACATGTTAACTACCAATTCAAGGGATGGCTTAAAGATCTGATACCCAAGTAAGGGACCCATAAATATATAAACAAAGCCAGCACATCACATTTGAGTACCGAAGCCCACAGGAAGCAAGCACTGCCGGCACACAGTCTGGACCCTCGTATCCTTCTGTTTACACTGTATAATGTCAATGGATAATCCTGACAGGAGCGTGGCCAGCTTCCAAGAAGACAATGCAAACATCAAAACAAACTGAAATTGGAGAGTGGTTTGCCAGCTAGATCTTTATAAAGCCAACAAAAATTGATGACGTCTCACAGGGAGTTCTCACTGGCAGGATAAAAAAGCTGGGCCAAGTCCTGGTCCTGCAGGCGAAGCCAGCAGAAGCTCTGTTGACTTTCAGGAGAAGGGCATGAAAAGAGGTCAAACCTTGTGACTGCAAGGCCACATCGCATTGTAAGATGCTGCCTTCCGGAAGATGCCTGCTAGAATGCTCATGCTCCAGGCTATGTTGTCAGAAGGGAAAGATGTGACACCTGCACTTACACCGGTTGCCCAAGCCCTGGTGGCACCATGAGGGTGAATGCCTCACCAGAGTCGTCCCACACAGCAGCACTCAGCAGCTATAGCCCCGGCCACACTCCTACGTACCCCGCCCATTTAGCAATCACTAGTTCTGCTTTTGGCTGATCTCTTCCAGGTGTGCTTCTTGTTAGTTAACTCACTGTCATTTTGGCAATATGCCCTTGTTTGCACTAGAAATGTGTGTGAGCAGCTGCTTCCCCTGCAGACTCCAACAGCACAGAAAGCTGAAGGACCTTCAGACGCTGCTTGCTGGAGGAAACAACTGAACCCTAAAGGTTCAGAAATTCTAACCTGCATCTAAAAATGGCATTTTCCTGGATGTGTATTAGATTTTGTTAGCTCCTCCCTGCTCAGTGGTACCTGGACCCCACCAGTTAAGGATGCCCTGTAAATTTGTAGCAGTTTGCCATTAAACTCCACACTTTGTTGTCCCCATCACACGGCTTCTACCTGGAGCACATTTGATTTCATGGCACCCAATCCTCTGTTCATTTTCTTTAACCAACTACCGTCTTTTCAGCAAATACTATATGGTACATAATCACACACCATTTCACCTAAATCTTTGTCCATGACTTGCAAAGTGGATCCAAATACACAGAAACAGAAAACCTCAGCTTCAGAAGAACATTAAAGTGAGGAAAATCAAGCCACAATCCAGTATCATGAAATGCAAGTTTGACATTGCTGCTGTCCCACCGTGACCTCCGCCGTGCACCACACTGTGCTGTGCTCCCCCATCTGTGCCTCTTCCGCAAGTGCTGAACCACCATTTGCTTTTGTCTGGGGTATTTTTGGACACAAATCGACACAGAAGCTAAGTTAACATTCAAGCAAAAACTTCAGCTCCTCTGGTTCGCAGATTTTTGTTACATCTTGGAGATTGTTAAATGTTTGTTAGATGTTGTTTGTTAGATCTGCCTATTACTGTAGTCTAAATAAAGTACATGGCCTATTTCTGATCAGGATAAACGTGCTACAAGTACAATGGAGAGTCAGTTACTCCAGCCCTTACCACTGACTTATCTAGGGGAGCTGATCATATGGTTTCTCCCTGCATTCAGTCCTAAGTAAGATGAGTATTACTGGTAGCCTTCTACCTCGCTAGTGTGAAACTAAGCTAATGTTTGAGGAGTGCTCCATGATCCTCCTTTGCAAAGCTCAACTGAAGTCTCGGTGCTATTTCAACAACAGCATCACCTTTAGCTGGCACCTCTCTGCCTGCTGCCCTTTGGAAGATGAGCAAGAGGAAACTTACCAGGACTTAAGTGATCCCACAGCATATTTGACACATGTTCTCCACCACCCCTGAGGCCCTGCCTAAGCTCTGCGCTGAGCTCTGCAAGGCAGCACAGACCCCAGGCATCGGTCACCTTGCAAGTCCCAAAGGGGCTCTCAGTACATTATGTCTCTTTACTACCCCCCAGCTCACAATGCCAGTTTACTGGCATTATTTACTTGTTGAATGGCAGAACATCAATGGAATCCATTTAGTGTGCTCTTCAGATTCTGTTTATCTGATTTTTTTTCCCGTTGACACATCATCAATAGCATGTTAGTTGCTTGTTTTGTATAGGAGACTGGAGGCTGGCAGACAGAAGCAAGCAAAAATACCAGCTCCTACTCTCCCTCCCAGGAATCCTTGAGTGCTGGCAAGCATCCCTACCAGCTACCCTTTCGAAAAGGGAGTGGACTTGGATCCTACAAGAACTGAAGCATGCACTTAGGCTTTGCAATTAAGTAGTTCCACAGAAAGTCACAGAACAAGTCATGGGTAGTCTTTGCAGTATTTGAAGCCTGAAAGTACAGCAGATACACAGCACCCAAAGTGCAAAGTTTGCAATAACTAGAATTTATGAACTGTATCATAAAAAAGGTAACTTCTACTTTATCAGTAAAAATATCATGTATTTTTTAAGGCAGATGTAACGGCTTTTAGAAGTTACCAAGGGGAAAAAAAAACCTAAAACCAGCTAACAAGATTTAACAAGATACTTCTCAGCTTAAGTATGACAAACAAGTGACAGACACTAGGGAGAAAATAGGAATACTCCAACAAGACAAGATGAAAGTATGGACAGCTTTGCATAAAATAAGCTACGTATGCTTTATAACATCACCAGAGGATACTTGTCAAGGCTGATATTCATGATCCACTGACAGCAAGAGATACCTTCAGGGTGATGTTCTACACCTACCTTTAGTGCAGATAAAGATCAAGCATTACCAAGATATTACACCTGTAAAAAAATTTACCCATTTTTTCTTCGCGTGTGTGTGTGCACGCACTGGTCCTAAAAACATTAATCAAAGAATCACAGTTTTCTTGGATGCCTTATAAATATGTATACCTAATAGGGCTTCAGAGAAAAGAAATGAGATTCCTTAAGAAAAAAGAGCTGGATGGTGGGGGTGTGGGGGAGAAGAACGGTTGTTTAGCTTTTTATGGCATATATCTCTATTTCAACTACACAGCTCTATAGAAGTCTTCATTTTTTAAGGGTTCATTAAAAACAAGTGTTTGATTACCTTCATTAAGTTTTGTTTTCTTCCTAACTTTCTCTGTTATTTACAAAACCTGGTATAGACAAGTGACCAATTTCCGTGGTCCTAATTTTGGGACTATCTCACCCCACATTTGATCTGTCACCAAGAATGCTGCTAGTGTTATGTACACAAACACCAAAAATCCTTATAAAGGTCTTTAAAAGTAACCAAGTGCTGTGAGGCACAAGTAATACAGCCTAGAAAGAAATTCAAGACCTGCAAAAGCAGAACCCCAAAGATGTGAATTGTGACTACGGTATTGGACCCTGCTGGAATGTTCTCCATGAAAGAACGTCTGACCTTCAGCAACACTCATTCTTACTGCCATAAGGACATTGCATTTCTGTTTTCCCCTTACCTTAAAACCGTATTTCCTGGAGTCCAGCTAGGCGCTCAGCTGACTCCCTGCACATGACTGGTACAAAGGAGCAAGGGTAAAATTTCAAGTGGATTTTCCACACTTTCTGCTGTGTTTTACACTACCTAAATTATCTACCGCTTTATAAAAACATATACCAAAGAGAGAAAAGAGGACTGAACTATGACACTGATGGCTTGGAGTTTTGGGGGCTACTGAGTCAATGAACTGAACTGTTCCAACAAAGAAGCAGGACACTGGGAAATGAGTTCATGTTCTCACAGGTCTAGTGGGTTGAGGAGGTATTTGAATTTTCAAGGAAAGCAAAAGGTCATTGTTGGCAGTAAAATACAACTACACGAATACAAAAGTTGTTTTGTTTTTTAAATTCTTCTAGCTCTGTAACAACTGAACCAGAATATTTCTATAATGAAGGACAAAAACTAGTTGGCACTAATTACTGACCAGTCAGTGGATATATTCTTTATTGTTTCACAGTGGAAAACCATTAATGAGCTTTCTAACTTTCAGAGATGTGATGGTTTAATGGGGCACATGCTCAGACTCAACGCAGTCCTGTTTGCTAGCAAAGGCTTGGGATAGACTGTCACCACATGAAACGCTTAGCAACACAGCAACAAGTCTTCCTTAATTTTTTAATGACAAGTTCTTCCATCTTCATAAATGATTTTAAACTATTCCTTATTCTCTTAAACTCAGACCTGAGTTGCTTGCTTC